GTGGAGTTGGTTCAAAACGGACTTTATACGTCTGGGCACCTAACGGGATTTCGAAGAATGTTGTTTACCATGAAGCGTTGGTCTGACGGTTATATCTTCCACTTCCTCACGGTTCCCATTAATACCCCACTTATGGCCGTCCCTCCTGTAATTCCTTAGTCACTCAAAATTCGGCTCTTTTTTGTTCTTCCCTTGCCATTTTACCCTACCTCCGTCCTTCCCATTATAACTTTTACGTGTGTCCTCCTTACTATTCCCTTTGACATCTACCACGTTTTCTCTTAATGTTCACGTACGTCACTCTCTCCGGTGCCACACTTACAGTTCTCCGTCTTACAATACCGTTCTACATTACTTTTTGCTTGTCCCTCGTACGTATTAGTTGTTTCAAAAGGTTTTACTGCAGAGGACACCTACCTTTTTCCTTCATAATGGACGACAATGGGTAAGGAAGCCAAGGCGAAGTCGGGCTTCCGCGCTAGTTTCATACTATGAAATTCCCGAGGGATACATAGAAGACTGAATTGGACTTTCCTAGCTTATTTCCCATCTAAATTATTCTGCCTATACTTCTAACGCCTCGGAGGTTGCTTATGGGACTCTAGACGGACCCAGAAGGCCTAGTGTCTTTCGTAATTAACCTAAAGCGATCGGTAATAATCACTAACACAAGTGCGCACTGTGATAATTGTTAAATTCACCACTTAAAAAGAGAACTCAGCTCCAGGCACCGTTGATAATCAGGAGAGACTCCTTGTGAAAATATACATTTTCCTAACAAAATATTGAAATATTGAGCGAAACATAATTTTTTTCTCATGAAGGATACTTCAGTAAACTCTTAAATATTTTGGTGCCACGTACTGGCCGCATATATTCCCCGTAGAGCGATATGGTCTTCTTATGATGATTGACTTTAATTGTCAATCGTGAATAAATTGTACATACTCAGAAACTTGAATTCATCGCGAGGGGCTTGTTTTACGGCACAAAGAAGTAGGAGCGTTGCAGATTGCAAATATTCAAATTCAAAATCTTCGCTGTTGTGT